GGTGCTCTACCACTGAGCTACATCCCCAGCCCTTGTTATTTATTTATTTTTTTAAATTTTGAGACTGGGTCTTGATAAGTTGCTTAGGTTGACCTTGAAGTTAGTAATTCTCCCAATTTTTGGGAGGATTTGGTCAGCCTTCCAAATTGTTGGGATTACAGATGTAAACCACCATGCCTGGCTTTAGGAATGCTTCTGGAACCATATATATAACCATATAAAAAAAAGTGTGTGTGTGTATGTATGTGTGTGTGTATGTATGTGTGTGTGTGTGTATATATATATATATATATATATATATATATATATATATATATATACACACACATACTTTTTTTCCCCCCTTTTTCTTTTTAAACCTGTTTTGTTTGAACCCTGGAAACAGAGAGAGATGTAAATGCTGCTGTGTTTATTTCTTTATTTGAAACCATTTAGTAATCTTAACTGTTGCTGCAGTTGCCTCTTTTCAATCCTTCTTGCATTCCCATACTGTTTGGATTTTCTGCTCTAAAACTTCTCATTCTGGGTACTCTATTTTTTTAAAAAATATTTTTTAATTGTTGATCTTTATTCATCCATCCATTCATTCATTCATTCATTCATTTATATGTGGTGCTGAGAATCGAACCCAGTGCCTCACACATGCCAGGCACGAGCACTACCGATGAGCCATAGCCCCAGCCCTCCCCACCTTTTTCTTTAAAAATTCAAAAATGTTTAAGTTTTCTGAGCTGGGGAGAAATATAGGCAACAGAATCCACCTTGTATTTATTGAAACCATACCTTTCTGTTCTATGAAGATATAAATATAAATTTCTTAGATATTTTAAAGATTATGACAACATGTATTTCTGAATCACAAATTTCTACAGTACTGATTTAAAAGAATTATTATAGATATAGATTCTGTTTGGAGTGACATTGGCTATCTTAACCTATGTGTTTACATAAAAATAATCCATGCTGTTTTTTTTTTTTTTTTGTCTTTTTTAGTACTTGGGATTGACCCCAGGGATGCTTGACCACTGAGCTATATCCCTATTCCTTTTTATTTTTTGTTTTGAGACAGAGTCTTGATGAGTGGCTGAGATTGGACTCAAATTTGTGATACTCCTGTTTCATCCTCCTAAGTAGCTGAGATTATAACATGCTTATTTTTCAAACACACCTCTTCTGTACATTGACAGTTTTTTCTTTCATTTCCCCCATAGTATCTATATGTTGCTGTATTTAAATCTGTATTTAACAGATTGTATTTAAACCATTGTTTATCTCTTAGAGGTGAAATGACATTCAGAGGGTTTGAATTCATTAATGGTTTCTAATTGTTGTTTTAAAAATTGTCCTTCATGTATTTATATTCTGTTAATAATGTATGTAAGTGCTCATTTCCCTTTAATTTAGGCAACATTGAATCTTATTAAAAACAAAACCCAAGCTGGGCACTATGGCTTGTGCCTATAATCCCAGGGGCTGGGGAGACTGAGACAGGAGGATCAAAAGTTCAAAGCCAGCCTCAGCAATTTAGTGAGGCCCTTAAGCAACTTAGTGAGGCCCTAAGCAACTTAGTGAGACCCTGTTTCTACTAAAATATAAAAATGGGCTGGATATGTGGCTCAGTGATTAAGTGCCCCTGGGTTTAATTCCCAGTACCAAAAACAAAACAAAACAAACAAACAAAAAAAACCCCATTTCTTGATGTATTATGTAAATCCAAACTTTTGTATTATTCCATGATTTGCTCTATATGACTTTTCTGTCTCTATATGTGACATTTTTGTATATTTGGCAGGTGTGTACCTTGCCTTTTACTCTCATGTTCTTTGGAGATTATTAGAATTTGTTTGCCTTTTGGTTACTTAGGATCATTTACTATTAAATTATTCTATCTTTTATACCCTGGAAAAATAAAGCCCAATATGGGAAGAACATAGATAGAAAACTCCTTTATTATGTGTTTTAAAGGGAGAACAATTTTGAGGACAGCCTGGGCAACTCTGTGAGAGCCTGTCTCAAAAAATAAAAAGGCCTGAGAATGTAGCTAGTGGTATTTAATTCCAGTATTACATAACAAAATAAAAAAGCCAATATTGTTTTTTTTTAAATTTGTACTTTCTTAGCTTGTATGACTCAGTCTTGTATTCTAGTCTTGTTTTAAGTATTTACTGTTGCTACTACTCCATAACTACTCCATAACTTTTCTTTTTCACATTTATTATTATTTAAAAAAAATCAGGCCTTTATGAAAGGAGGGAGCGGGGTTAGACCTCTCTATAGTTTTACTTGTAGTTGGTTCATCTGGAAAAACTCATAACATGCATGGAATTAGATTTCATTTCTTGTTCCCTCTTTTTCCCTCTTGTTCTCCCTTTCCTTCCCCTTTCTCCTTCCTCTACTTTACTAGACTTCCTTTAGCTCATCTATTTATTTGTATTTGATTGGTTCTTTTTACATATATATATATATATATATATTTACAAATATATATAAAAATATATAAAATTTGTACCAGAAATTGAACTCAGGAACGCTTAACCATTGAGTTGTATCCCCAGCCTTTTTTATTTTTGAGACAGGGTTCTGCTAAGTTGCTTAGACCATTGCTAAGTTGCTGGCTTTGAACTTGGCAGTCCTCCTGCCTCAGCCTCCCGAGCCGCTGGGATTATAGGTGTGCACTTCCATGCCCAGCCGTAATATGATTTTTTATAAAGAATACATTCCACATTGCCTCCACTTTCCCATCCCTTCACTTTGCCTCTCAATCTCTTCCTTCTACGATATGATCTTCATTTATTTTATCCTATCTTTCCCTCCCATGAGAGAAAACATTCAACCTTTGAATTTGTGAGTTGGCTTATTCACTTAGTATGATATTCCCCATTCCCATCTATTTACCAGGAAATGCTATAATTTCATTTTTTTCTTTATAACTGAGTAGAGCTCCCTTATATGTGTCATACCACTATTTGTTAATTTATTCATTTATTGACAGGCACCTGAGTTGATTTCATAATTATTATTGTGAATTGTGCTGCTGTAAGCATTGAGGTGGCTATATTGCTATAGTATTCTGATTTTTTATGTTTTGGGAAACTACCAAGGAGTTGGATAGCTGGGTCATACCCACCCTACAACTTTTAGTGGTTTATCAGACAGGGCTCAACAGGGACAGTTTATCTTTCTTCCATGTGGTATCTAGCTGGATTTATTCATGAAGCTACATTAAGTTGGTAGCTGGCTTAGGTGTTCATTGTTGGTTTTATTCACATGTCTGGGACTAGGTGCTGCTGCCTGGAGGCCAGTGTCCCTCATTTCTCCCAAATATTCCTTCTCATTCTTTATTTGGCCTCTATTATCAGGGGAGTGTGGAATGGTTCTTTATGTGGTGGTTAGGATCTAAAATAGCAAAGGTAGAAGCCATGCAAATCTTTGGTTTCCTGAATTTGTACATCGTATCCTGCTGAATCAAAGCAGGTCTTGTAACTAACTCAGGTTAATGCAGTGGGAAAGAGAATGTTTTATGATTGGAGGAACAATATCCTATTGCAAAGAATGGGAAGCATGATTCCCTGGGAGCCATCTGCCACAATAATATAACTTGAGGATAGAAAAGTTTCCTCCACAAAACATAAAAAGTATTATAGTGTTAATTTGTATTTTCTGTTGCAACAACATTAACATTGTGGTCAGAAAATATCTTATGCACTTCAGAAGTAAAAGTGAAGGAGTAGTTGGGGGTGTGATAAAACATATATCCTTAATTTTCATTCATTTTGTTCTGGTATATAATCTCTTTTAGGGCAGAGACAGATAAATTAATTTTTCATGCCTGGAATAGATTAAGTCCTTTGAATGGTTAAATTTAAACATTATAAGAAGTAAATAAATTCAACTAAGTCTTTAGTAGCAAATTTGCTGGGTGCAGTGGCACACACCTGTAATCCCTGCAACTCACAAGATAGAGGCAGGATGATTGTAAGTTTAAAGCCAGCCTTAGCAATTTAGTGAGGCCCTAAGCAACTTAAGCCCTGTCTCAAAATACAAAAGGGCTAGGGATGGAGCTCAGTGACAGAGTACCCCTGTGTACAAAAAATAGATAAATATCAATACTGTTTTTTATATTAATTCAGTTTTTAAAATATTTATTTTCTAGTTGTAGTTGGGCACAATATCTTTATTTTATTTATTTATTGTTATGTGGTACTGAGGATCGAACCCAGGGCTTCGCATATGCTAAGTGAGTGCTCTACCTCTGAGCCACAACCCCAGCCCATTAATTCATTTTTAATGGGGCTGGGGATCAAACCCATTGCCTCATCCATGTTAGTCAAATGCTTTGACACTGAGCTCAACCCCAGATCTCCATACTGTTTTTTTTAAACCTGTCTGATTACAACAACTAAGAACATTTAGGTTAAAATTCTTGACATGAAACAAAGTTGGGCTCCTAATATGTAGTTGATTTCTCATTTAATTAACTTTCTTTTTTATATTCAATTAATTAGTGTAAGTACTTTGAAGCACACCTAACTTTTGTTGTTGTTGTTGTTAGAGATAACTAATTCATAATTTTGTGAGTAAAGTATTTCTTGCCTAAGTTTCTATGCCCTGATCTCCAGTTTTTGGGATATGGAATTATATGGAAGTGGAGAATGTGGTACTTTTCAATGTGAAGGGCTATACAAACTTGAAAGTGCTGTTTATAAAAAGTATTTGTGTGTGTGTTTTTTTTTAAAGAAAATGTATACATTTTGCTAAATATAAATGTAGCATTTGTTTAGTAGTATTGTTTTAGATTGATCAAGAATAAGGTGGATAATTCATTTAAAAATAAATTAGTTTTACTTATTTATATCCAAAATTAGATGATTTTTTTGGTTATTCTTTGTCAGAAGTTAGTTTTTGATAACGTTTTAAATTACTATATGGTTTAAAAGAATCTCTGCATTGCATATGTATGAGTTATGATTTAAATTTAAATTACTTCTGTTTATATTTAGAAATATAAAGAAAAAGACAAACACAAACAAAAACACAAGAAGCAACCGGAGCCATCACCTGCATTGGTTCCATCCTTGACTGTTACTACAGAAAAAGTAAGTTTGAAGTATCTGATTATGTCCTGACTTTTAGCCCAAGAAGTGTTTTAACTCTCAATGTCCTGATTCCTAATTTTTCCCACCCACATCTTAGTCCTTTGTGCCACTTTCTGTTTATTCTATACTGTCTCCAAAGACCAATGAGGATAATAAGTGGGAGGCTCCATTGAGATTAAGAATTTGAGTGTGGGGTAGGCTTAATGTACCTGTGATTTTGTTGTCTGGCTTCACCACTTACTGATGGAACCCTTAGGTTAATTTTTCTCTCTGTAACTCAAATTTTATTAGCTGTAAAATAGGGGAAATAATTAATGTAATTGAATAAGATAATACATCTAAAGCAATTAGAATGGTACCTGGTTCATAGTAAGTATTTCTTAGCAAATATTAAGTATTATTAAGGTTATTATGTGGTTAATATGAAAATGAATATAGGCAGGGACAGGTGGCCGACAAAGAGTAAGCAAGTGAGAAAATGCAGTAGGAAATGAGGACAGAGTGACGGGTTATATATACTAGTGTAAGGGCTTTTGTCTTTTAGTTTGGGTGAAAAGCAAGCAATTGGAGAGTTCTGAACTGAGATGTAACATGGTCTGACTTGAATTTTGAAAGAACTTATGGCTGTATTTTCATGAATAGAGAGTCAAGAATAGTAGGGAGGACATTAGGAGATTGTTGGCAGTAATTTAGTGGAGATGGTGGTAATAGTGGAAGAGGTGATGAGAAGTGATCAGATTCTGAATACAGCGAAAGGTAGAACCCATGTGACTTTTTACAGATAAGTTACAAGATCAGAGAGGATCCATATGTGATTCCAGAGGTTTTGATCCCTGATAAATAAAAGCAATGGAGTTGTTAATGAAGATAAGAAAGACTATGAGTGTAATAGGTTGTGGGAAAGGTGATGAATTCAGTTTTGTTGTATATTTGGGTTTTCCATTGCTGTCTGAACATACTACTGCAAATTTAGCAGTTTAAACAACATTAACTTATGTCACAGTTTTGTAAGTCAGAAAGGCTGGGCTCAAGCTGGTTCATTTACTTCATTTAAAGGTCATCAAAGTGTTTGATGGCCTGTGTTCTTATCTGAAAGAATCTGCTTCTGAAGTTCATTCAGGTTATTGATAGAATTTGTTTCCTTGTGATTGTAGAATCAAGGTGCCCATTTCTGTGTTGGATATCAGCTAGGAGCCCAACCTACGCTTGTAGGGCTTCTATGAGGTCTTTGCTTTCCTTACTACACAATCCCCTCTACCTCCCCTTCATCTTGGAGCCAGTCATGACATGCTGAATTTTTTCACATTTGGAATCTCTCTGACTTTCCTTCTGTTGCATCTCTTTTGCTTTTAGTCAGAGAATTCTCTCTTTTTAAAGGGCCCATGTGGTAAAATTGAGCCTACCCTGAAAAAATACAGAGTAATTTTCCCTTTCTTAAGATTCATGAGCTTAGAAACTTAAAGTTTCTTTTGCCATATAACATAAAAATATTCACAGGTTCCAGGGTTTAGGATGTGGATATAGTGGTGGGCTATTCTGCATACATTTGATATATTAGGGTTGAGGTATCCGTTAGACATCTAAATAGAGATACTGACTAACCAGCTGTATGTATACTTGCCAGTCAGGAAAGGGGACCAGACTTTGGATATAACTTTGGGAATTTTATGCATATGAAGTTACTTAAAGCCATGAGACTAGATCACATCACCAAGGCCTAGGTTAAAAGGTCTGGAAGAAATGCAATAAGCAAACTAAAATAATAGGCCAGAGTTTGGAAGAAAAACAATAGGATGCAGTATGCTGGAAACCAAGTTAAAGGGAATGTGTGTCATAAAGACTGGCTATAGATTTTTTCAAGTGGAGGTTATTAGTGACTGTTGATAAACAGTTGTAGTGTGGTGGAAGCAAAAGCCTGAATGGAGTGGATGTAGGAGAGAATGGGAGGGTCAGACAGTATAAATTATTGTTTTCAGGAGCTTTGCCAAAAAGAGGAATGGTGATAACTGGTCAGGGAACTGGGGGTAAAAAAAGGATATTTAAAAAAAAAAAAAGTAAATTTTTTTTTTTGAAATTCTCTTCTGATAAATAATAATTTTTTTGTGTGTGTGAGATATAAGAAGCAATGTTATCAATTGTAAGAATGAGATGAGCATTATAGATTTGAGCAGACAAAACACAGATAATTTACTATAATAATGGCAAAGAAAATTTACTAGGGGAATTTAGTCTAATTGTTTGGTTTACCATTTGAGGATCATGGTCAAGAATTTTAAATGAAGCAATTTTGCAGAGTTTTTAATTTTTCTCATTTCTGGTCTGCCTATATATAGCTGTGGGCACAAAGTAGAATTTAGTCAGGTTGTTGTTTTATTATGTGAATATACTGAATGAGTTGAGTGTGAGTGCAAGGAGAGTTATACTGATGGGTCATGATATTTAAAGTTAATAGATAGGGAAATGAGGATAATAGAAGATAAGAGATAATAAATAATGAAATTAAAGGGTTGTTGGAATAGAGTAAATTGGAAATAGGTGGTAGTCAAGAGAGTAGGTTGTGCTAATGGAGATTATATAATGATAACAATTATTAGTGAAAACAGAATCTAGGTGATGACGAATATGAGAGCAGAGAATAAGATGACTGGAGGAGAGTCTGTCAAGGAGCCGAGAGTTTGGAGACTGTCTAAGAAGTAAGATGGGAGTAGTGTAGGGGAGTCATAGTAATATAGTTCTAAAGTGGTGGTTGGAAAAGTTTTTGTCAAGGACTGGATACTAAGTATTTTAGGTTTTGCAGAACATACTGTCTCTGTCTAGTACTCAACTCTATGCTGTTATACCACAGAAATAATAATAGGCAATTTGTAAATAAGTGGATCTGGCAGTATTCCAGTAAAACTTTATTTATGGACACTGAAATTTAAATTTCATATATCATGAAATGGCCCTATTGATTTTTTTCAACCTTAAAAATATAAAAATCATTCTTAGCTGTTGAGCTGTGTGTACAAAAACAGGTGAATGATCAAAGGGCTTGTACTTTGCCAAATTCTGCCCTAACAGTGAGGCCTACTGTGTGATAAGGTCTGGTGACATGAGATTTTATACCTGGAGGGTTTTAGAGAAAGAGGCTTACAGTTCGCATCACATAACAAGGAAACCTACCTATTCTCCCTATCCAGTGATAAGAGCTATGGGAACAAAGTAGTCATCATTTATTGAGATAGCCACAGTGGACAGGGTGGTCCCAAGTATTTGTTGAAGCAAGAATCTGAAGGGGATGTTTAGAGAAAAGATTGAGTTACGTAGCACCTTATCCAGATGACACTGTGTTCCAGAGAGCACAATGGAAAGTTTCAGCTGTCAAGAAGGATGTGGAAGATATGGGTGTAAGAGGGTATGTTTAGAGCTGATAGGGAATTGACCTGGATGGTGTCTTTTGGTTTAGTGACATGAACAGGGGTAAAACCATAATTGTTAACGCTGGTAGACTTAAGGCAGGTGTGGTCTTGAATACTTTTAAGGGTTAGCATGGTATGGTAATTTGGGCTTCATGACCCTGATGGATGATGTAAGACTTGAGCCATAGCTTCTTTTCAGGGGAAAGATGTCATTTTAGTGTAGATTTACCACATTTATCTTTTATTGATATAGATCAGGGAATGTAAGTGTGAGTTTTATTCTTTGAGTTTCAGGGCTACTTCAAGACTCTATTTAATGTTTGTAAAATACATTTTAATAAAAAAGTCACAGGGAACTTTAATTCACTAGTGTGATTTTTAAATGCCTGTATTGGTAGCTAATTTTTTTGTTATTTCTTCTTTCTTTTTTTCTGGTACTGGGGATTGAACCCACTGTTTCTGCATGGTGAGCAAGTGCTCTACCACTGAGCTATACCTCCAGCTCTGTCTTTTTAATTTTTTGGTATTGGAGGTTGAACATAGGGGTGCTTTACCACTGAGCTTCAACCCAGCTGTTCTGTTCTTTTTTTTTTTTTTTTTTTGAGATAGGGTCTCTTTGAGTTGTTCTGGCTGGACTTGAGTTTGCAGTCCTCCTGCTTCAGCCTTCCAAGTACCTGAGATTACAGGAATGAATTACCATATCCAGCTTGTTAGCCAGTTTTGATTACACATTTTAAAATTTTGTTCTATCTTCTGTACTTTTTTTTTTTTAATTCCATTTCATGAAGTCTGAAGTAGGAGGATTACAAGTTTGAGACCAGTCTCAAAAACTTAGCAAGACCCTGTTTAAAAAAAAAAAAAAGTTTAGGAATATAGCTCAATGGTAGAGCATCCCTGGGTTTAATCTCCAGTGCCAGGAAAAAAAAAAATCACATTTTACTTCTTTATTCTTGAAGTTTGCATCAAGTTTTAATTGTATTTTATATATACAACTTTTAACCCTTTTGGACTCTAAACATTTTTAAGGTTAGAAATTAGCAACAAGAGCTGGGCACAGTGATGCAGGCCTGTAATCCCAGTAGCTAGGGAGACCGAGGCAGAAGGATCACAAATTCAAAGCCAGCCTCAGCAATTTGGTGAAATTGAAACCCTGTCTCTAAATTGTGTGTGTGTGTGTGTGTGTGTGTGTGTGTGTGTATATGTATGTGTATATATATATATGTATGTGTATATATATATGTATGTGTATATATATATGTATGTGTATATATATATGTATGTGTGTGTATATATATATATATATATATATATATATATATATATGGCTACGGATGTGGCTCAGTGGTTAAGTGCCCCTGAGTTCAATCCCCTATAGAAAGAAATTAGCAACAAGCAAACAAATTCAGTGTGATGTCATATTAAATGTAGCATTACTGTGATCTTTTAAATACTATAACTATAATACACTAGCATAATATTTTCAAACAAGCCATTTATAACCATGGTAGTGAATGACTAGTGATACATGAATAAATAAATATTGTTAAGAACAAATTGGGATTTTTTTTTTTATTAATCACTAAGATTATTATCAGAACG